GGATATTCCTTGGCAATAGATTTATATTTGGGAAAATAGTTAAGATGATTGATTTTGGGAAGGGACTAGGTTGTATTTCACTCATTACACCATTGGCCTATGTTATTATGGTGCGGTATAAAAATCCGCGAATTGGAGATAAAGCCTTTCGTAATCATCTTATGTAGATTGATGTGCTAATCACACGTAGTGTGAGTGATAATTATTTAGCAACAAACTAATCAGAAAGTCAGCTCAAGACTTTCGTGGAAAGATTGGAGGGTCGGCATGTTGGATCGGTTTTGCCTTTTTTGTATGTAAGGTTTATGTATATACGGTTTGTGAATGGAAATTGGAAACTGGATGAGAGATCTCGTTTATATAGAGAGGTATCAAAGTAAGGGAGGGCGTGGTTAATTCAAGATGCGGGGCCGGGGCCATTCACGGAGGAAGAACGCAAAACTCCCACTCCAGTCAGCGACTCAGCATTATCCAGCTCAGCAACACATGTCCAAGGATTGCTGAAGTCCACTCTCCTCACATTCTACGAGGGAAGCGCTCGGTTGTCGTCGTCGAGCGGCTTAGGCGGATGAGCCGGTGGCTGCCATCAGGGTCCGATCCAGACCGATTCCGCGCTATGATGTTTGTTAGGAAAAGCCGTCCTTCTTTACGGGGAACAGGCGCCTATTCTTCTCCTCAACGCAACATTGTTCCGTATGGAGCGTTCCCTGGTGAATGTTCGTATATCAACGCTATCGTAAACGTTTCTCTGTATGCCGGCGGGGTTTCCGCAAGGGGAAATCTTGAGGTTTGCGGAAGGTGATAATGACGTCATAATGGGAATTTGACTGGCGGAGGAAGAATATTAATCCGGAAGCGAGATTAGTCATCGTGTTGTATTTTCGCCGCGATTCATTCTGGAGAAGAAAAGAAACGTTGAAGATATATATATATATATACGACAGTTGTTATACCAATAATAATAACTATATCCACGCTGTTGTCTGCGCTGGCAATATACTGTAGTCACATCCCTTTCATCTTTTTCCTTTTTTTTTATTTTATTTTTGGATCCCCCATTCCCTCTGCTCGTTTGAATACTAGTTCCTCGTTTTTCGCAACTGCCAGCTGTGATATATCATTTCCTTTTTCTCTGTCTGGATGAA